AATAGATAAAGTTCTAATTTGAAGTTTATTTGTTATATCCACTTAAAATTTTTATTCATATTTCATGTCTATTAAGCGAATTTTTTTTTTCATTTTGAGATTTAATAATATATTTCTAAGTTTGACATATATAAAGTAACATTTTATGTAATCACGGCAAATGTCAAAATGATTAACTTTATGCAACCAATTGCATAAAGTTAAACAATATGAAACTGGTTATCAGTTGCGAAAAGAAAAGAAACAAAAATAAACATTTCTTGATTTCTAAATCAATATATACATTATTATTGAAAGATTTTTCAAAAAAGGAAAGGTTGGCTAAATATAAAAAGAATTAGGTTGGTAAACTTAGTTATAATGTTGTTGTGGTCCCAATTTTCCATTCTAAATCTGCACAAAAAAATAAAAAGACAATACACGGCCAAATAGCCTAATTTCTTGAAAACGAAGTAACTTTAAGTTGTAGAGAATAAACTAATATGATTTTATTATTTATTGTTTCGGCCTTTACTTGATGAAAATCCATTTTATCTTGAATGAGTAAAACCAAATTTGGTACATTTTCACAAAACTTTTATTTTAGAAAATAAAAATTAAAAAATTAAAAACACTATACATGACATGTTTCGAAGTACAACTTCTTTTTCAAATGTGACTAATTTACAATTCGGTATCCAATATATATATGCGAAATAATTTAACAAAACAAAGTACTTAAGAAAACATCAATAACATAACACAATAAACTAACTATTTAAAGTAAATAAGGGTACTTAGGTAATTATGATATCAATCAGATAACAATAAGAAAGTAACATTACCGGGATTATCTTACAGAAAACTAGCAAAGAGATTTAATAAGGGTGAGTTATTAATATCTAATTGATCATTGAGTAGATTATCTGAATTTTTAAATCTATTTATTTCAAGTTTCTAAATGGTTTAGTTTAATGCCCTTATTTTCTATATGTAAAATTTCAAAGTTGTCTGTAAAAAAATGATTTTCAGCTAAAATATGATTTGAGTAAGTAGAATTATTTTTGTTTTTTGTATAGCTATTATAATGTTCGGGATAGCGCTTTTTGAAAGTACGGCCTGTTTGACCAATATACAATTTTGGACAGCTACCACAATTTTTTTTATGTACCCCCGATTTATTATTAGGATTAATTTTACCCTTATTGTTTTTAATATACTTCCCAAACGTATTATTGATTTTAAAAGCTACGTTAATATTTTGGTTTTTTAAATATGATGATATCTTTTCACTAGGAGCTCCTATATATGTAAGACTCTTATATCTGCAATTTTGATCTTTAATTATGGGATAAACTTGTTGAATAGCATGTTTAAAAAGTTTTTTCTCTAAAATGTTGTCTACTAACTTTGAATTAAAATTATTGTTTACTGCGATTTGTTTAATCATATTTAATTCTTTTGTGAAGTTCTCTTTGGTAAGGGGGATATTAACTAATCTATGGATCATAATGTTGTATGCTGCCAGCTTTTTTTTGTATGGATGAGATAAACTATTGTTTATTGTAATATCAGTATGTGATGGCTTATGATATATCCCAAAACTATGGCCTTTAATAATTTTAATAATATTTAAGTCTAAAAAATTAATTGAATTATCCTTCTCTGTTTCCATAGTAAATTTAATATTAGGGTGTATAGTATTGATAAAAACTAATAAAGAATTTAACTGTCTACTAGTATCAGTAAAAGCAGTCACTATATCGTCAACATATGTATGCCAATAAAGACAATGTTTACTTAAATTATTGCTATGAATGTTCTATATTATCCATAAATATTTCCGCAAGCAACGGGCTTAATGGGTTCCCCATAATAAGACCTTCATTTGCTGAGTAGATGTTATTTTGAAATTGAAAATAATTTTGTTTTAGGCAAATGTTTAACAAATTTAGGATTTCTTCTTTGATTATAATATTGACATATTTCATAAGCCATCACATACTGATATTACAATAAATAATAGTTCATCTCATCCATACAAACAAAAGCTGGCAGCATCCAACAGTATGATCCATAGATTAGTTAATATCCCCCTTACCAAAGAGAACTTCACAAAAGAATTAAATATCATTAAACAAATCGCAGTAAACAATAATTTTAATTCAAAGTTAGTATACAACATTTTAGTGAAAAAACTTTTTAAACATGCTATTCAACAAGTTTATCCCATAATTAAAAATCAAAATTGCAGATATAAGAGTCTTACATATATAGGAGCTCCTAGTGTAAAAGTATCATCATATTTAAAAAACCAAAATATTAACGTAGCTTTTAAAATCAATAATACATTTGGGAAGTATATTAAAAACAATAAGGGTAAAATTAATCCTAATAATAAATCGGGGGTATATAAAAAAAATTGTAGTAGCTGTCCAAAATTGTATATTGGTCAAACAGGCCGTACTTTCAAAAAGCGCTATTCCGAACATTATAATAGCTATGCAATAAACAAAAACAATTCTACTTACTCAAATCATATTTTAGCTGAAAATCATTCTTTTACAGACAACTTTGAAATTTTACATATAGAAAATAAGAGCATTAAACCAAACCATTTAGAAACTTGAAATAAATAGATTTAAAAATTCAGATAATCTACTCAATGATCAATTAGATATTAATAACTCACCCTTATTAAATATTTTTCCTAGTTTTCTGTGAGATAATCCCGGTAATGTTACTATCTTATTGTTATCTGATTGATATCATAATTACCTAAGTACCCTTATTTACTTTAAATAGTTAGTTTATTTTGTTATGTTATTTATGTTTTCTTATGTTCTTTGTTTTGTTAAATTATTTCGCATATATATTGAATACCGAATTGTAAATTAGTCACATTTGAAAAAGAAGTTGTACTTCGAAACATGTCATGTATAGTGTTTTAAATTTTTTAATTTTTTTTTTTACATAAGAGTTTTGTGAAAATCTACCAAATTTGGTTTTACTCATTCAAGATAATATGATTTTCTATTTGTCAGAGAAATCAATGACGCATAAAACTATTCATATGCAACTAACAATACAAGAAATTTTCATGGGTGGCATAGATATTAGGATTTTTTTTACAAACAATTTTTTAAATAATCCAGTTAAAATTAGATAAAATATTGTATTTTCACAGGTTACGAAATGCCGTTTCATGTAACTCGTTCATTTTGCATGATCTTGCTCTGGTTGCCCAGAAAATATTTACTTGTTACATTGTCATTAGGTCAAAAATAAGTCCCTTTTTCAAACTGTTTAGCTTACTTAATCCTGTATTTACAAACTATTTGGGAATTTATCGCCCATTTTTAAATTCTTGAGAATTCTCAGCGATCCTGCCATGCCTAAACACCTTTTTAAATATGGACGAGAACATAAATCCCAACTTAAGAAAAACTTTACATTAACTTTTAATGTATTCTCTCACGTCTGTTAGTTTCTTAAACGAACTGACATAGCTCGTCTGTAAAAATAGTAAATCGTTCATCTAAAAGTGTTCACCATAGCCATCAATTATCGTAAAAACTCTCTTATACCTGCCATGCACATGCAAACTTAATGTACTCAATGTACTCAATGTTCTGCAATCTTCAAACAGTGGCGACTCATGTGGCAACGCAACCGATATTCAGTTAAGGATTTTAAAAATTTTACTATTTACCTTTCCTTGTTGACATCAACATGGAAACCTAGTTTTGATAAAACATTTATTACCTATTTTAGAAAATTGTGTGTTTGTAAAGAAAATCTTATTTAATTTAACAAAAAGACTTGTATTTCGTGCAAAATTGTTTAATTTAAAATTCAAAGCGCTCTCGGCATAACGCCGTCTTCTTTGCTTATCTACAATAATTGTGGGTGTGAATTAGGCTGGGCCCAAATAGGCATATTTTTAAAAAATATAAAAATTAAGTTGACACTACGTATCAAAACTAGAGTTTTACTGTACTTACTTTTTGTATTTTTTTTTTAAATTTCCAAATCCACACTTTAGGGGTAAAAACGTTAAAGTTTGAAATTTTGACGTACAGTACCTACTGAAAGTTACATTTTAGTGTTTGTATACACACTCTTTATTTTTAATATTTTTAAATAACATCTTCAGCCCTCTATTACCCCTTTTAACCAATGTTTATTCCTTTTGTCATTAAAAGATAATCAACCAGTGGCGACTCGTGGGCACTAGCGGCAGTGGGGCACACACTGGAAAGGAATCCCGGGATTCGTTTTTCCCTTAGGAAAACAACTTCTCCGCTTAATGAAAATAAAAAATATATTTCAAAACAAATTAAATATTACAAAATTAAAGACTAACTGCTAGGTACCGCTGCAGTTGTATACTATTTCTTATAGTTGAAGTCCATTCTTCTGGATTTTTGGCTAGCGAAGTGATCGATTACCAGATTATTAAAATTTGGAATGGACCGATAGATAACATGGCTAACGCGTACAATCTATCTTGGCACATAGTGTTCCTTAAAAATATTTTAATACGTTTTAGTGTCGAAAAACATATTTCACTCTCCACTGTGGTCATGGGAATTGTACACAGGATAGTTAGCAGCTCCACAGATTCCGAAAATGTAATTGTCAAATTGTTCTCAAAAAACATTTGTAATAACGGTATGGCCTCATTATGTTGCACAAAGTCATCTTGGGTGTAAAGTATGGACAGTTGAATTTTAAGCTGTTTACGTTTGGAAATAAACTATACACAGTTTTAACGTCCTTATTTGGAAAACAACCTCGGTAGTCTTTAAATTTTTCACTATCAAATAAACTTGCAAGTATTAGGTGAGTAGTAAAACTAAAACGTTCATTTACCTGCACTACTATTGTATCACAAATTTCCTTACATTTAAATTAGGAATGGGGTCCTCCTTTTCAACAAACCGTCTCTTCTTGCTTGTACTTGGACCTGATTGGGTGTTGTTCTTCAAGTTTAGTTCTTGTGGATCTTGTTGTGATTGCTATTCTTCATGAATTAGCGTGTCTATATTATTTCTAATATATTGAATAGCTGCTGCAAAATATGATATGTTTATCTTAACCTTGAGAGCATCGAGTTGTCTACTTTGCAGTTGATCAAAAAGTATATCGCAATTGGGCATTATTTTGCTGAAGAAAAATAACCAGAAATTAAAATCTGTCTTTCAAAATTTATCAACCCTTTAGTCTGATTAATAGTTTTTTTATCGAATTATGTGTTTTTTCCTTCGAGACATTTAATCAAATCCTCTTTATAAACATAAATAGTATTGACACACTTCGATGTAAAATTCCATCGTGTAGGAGCATTTTAAAGCATACGACTCAGAAGAAAAGGTGTTTGGCAATTTAAAATCTCCCAGCAAAAATTTCTCTTTTATATTTTCAAATTAGAAAAAATATTTTTCCTACGACCACTTAGGAAAGTGACACATATCACACTATATAGTCCTATGGAAAGTGCCCTATATCACACGCGTATAAATAAGAATTTACTTTCCACCCGAGTGAGAATATGTTACTTTCCGCAGTAGTTGTCACAAAATGTCAAACACTTAATTTCTATTTTGATCTATGTAATGTCCATATTAATACTAAAATCGATATGATTGTTAAATTATTGAAATCGTTGTAAATTAGGTCCTAGATATTTATCTTTTACAATTATTATTAAAATAATTTTAAAATAATGTTTGCTCTTTATTCAGGTTAAATACATAACCGATTAGATCATTCAATTGACACAAGGGCTATTAGCTCAGGTGGTTAGGACGTCGAACTTATCAACTTTGCCATTTTTCGACCGGGTTCGAATCCTGGCCGGACAGAATTTTTTTTTTGTTTTTTTTTTTATTTTTTTTTTAGTTTTTTTTTTGTTGAGAAAGTATAAAAATTGAATAAATACGATTATTGTTGATTATTTTTTTAAATACATTTTAATTATTATAGACCTTGGTTTTACATTTTTTTGATGACATTATTTTGTGATTTTCCACACTCGTGTGATAGTCGCACTCGGCTTGGGCCTCGTGCGACAATATTTCCCACTCGTGTGAAAAATGTCACTTTCCACACTCGTAATGTAATATACTATGTATCTCTATTTGATAGTTTGTCAACTGCTTATAGTTAAAAGACAAATTAAAATGAAAGGTGGAAAACATGTAATGAATCTATAGTTAATCTGAATTTATAGATAAAAGAAAAATAATTATTAAAAATACTGTCTCCACAATGATATCCAACAAAATTAAAAGTTATTCCGAACATTGAATATTAGAGTATCCCACCTTGCTAAATATTCATATTTATTTTCTTTAAAATATTTTTGAAATTAGGAGTTTATACAGCCAATGTTTAAACTTTTATTTTTACATTTTTGTTTATAATTTTAACGAATTACTTCTATATTTTAGGCGGCTAAATTTACAACTAAAAACATCCTTTATCAAGCCCCCTTTTCAACAATTTATGTTCTTTTAGTAAAGCCCTTTGGCCTTTCTTGCTCTTGGTTATGTTTAATGCTTGTAAGAAACCATCTCATCTGCTTTTAAATGTAGGGTGGACAAAGCTGCAATGAATTTAATAATAGTGAATGATATTTGCAGAATAATACTCTAAAATTTTACCGTTAGCCTTTATTTTCAGTTTGGACTCGGTTCCTTTCTTCTATTTGATTTTTGTGTTTAAAAATTTGTTTGTTAACAGCTCACTCCAGGCTCGCCAAAATTTCAAAATATTTCAGGATATAAACAAAGTGTGATCCAAACTCGGCTCGAAGAATGTACCCTAACCCAAAATGTTTAAAATAAACCATTTACAAAATAATATTTCTCTTTATAATTCAAATAAAAAGTAATTCATTTGAAATTTGATGAAATCATTGCTTGATTTTTCTTGCTGTTTTGTAGCTTGTCTTTTAAGAAATCAAACTATTGATATTTATAAAAACCCTAACACTAGAACAAAGTTCAAAGTTAAAAATATAAAATTCTCTAAATGACAATAAAATATTGTATTTTTTAAAAAACCTATGTTTGTACTATAGCTGCATACTGAGATGGCGTGTAAATAGGGCCAGATTTAAGAGCTCTCTTGACGCTTTTTTCAATTAAGGAATAGACATTGTCGCCTTCAGTTTGGGTGTGTTCAGTAACAAGTTATTTATGAGTAATTGCCTTAATTTTATAATTAGCCACGGCATGAAGGTAAGCTACAATGATGAATTAGTTTCTTTGTTGGCCTGTGCAATTATCGGAATAGAATACTATTTCGAGATCTTCAGTATTACAAACAGCAGCCTTTTGCTTTAAATAATACAACAGGCAACTGCCTATTTCAACTGCCTATTTCAACTGCCCCTCTCTTACCCTGACCCTCGTGCCACATGTAACAATTAATTAATCCTTGCCCCTTTGAAGTAAGATCCGACACAGTAAAATTGTAGGTGGACAGATCTATAGTAGAAAGAGGACACTTATCCATTTGGTAGAGAGGCTTGCAGATCAAAACACGCTACCTGGTATAAAGAAGAAGTACTCTTTTTGACGTTTTCCTTTTCTTCTCTGCTCAATCTTTTCTCCTCAATTGTGGGTGTTATGTTCCTCCTCTAACTCTTTCTTTTCTTCTTCTGTTGAACTTTCATAGGATACGCAGGCTTGGACTAATCCCTATTAGGAATAAAAAAGGCTATATTGAACTCGTGGTTGAAGATGTTTCTGTACATAGTGAGATTAGCAAACAGTTTTTCCTAATTTTCGAATTCTTCTTTATAATCACGGTGTAACTGAACAATTGTCTTACTTTCGTTTATATAAAGTTTTTCAGAATGTGCTCGCATATAACACCGTCTTTAATGTCCTTGGTAACTTCTTTATGGTCAAAATGTATTCCTCTGTTATCTTCGGCTATAGTAAAATCTTTAATTTTCATCTTTATTGTTCGGATACAGCGCCCAGTAATATATAATATAAAAAAATACTTACAAACTGTTATTTCTTTGGCGTCTTTTAAGAAAAAAAATTCGTGGTTTTTAGATCTGATTACGGCATTATGTGTGTATCTGTATACAGGATTAACTTCCTGATCAACCGATAAAATATAGGTACGTTGTTTTACAATATCACCCATGTCCCAGTATTTTTAAAATTGGGCCAACCTTTCTTCTTCTGTGAATTTGGTACTGCATTTTTGTTTGCACTTAGAATCATCACACGGTAGTTTCATTTGTCGTTCTGGAACTATTAATCCCTTCCTTAAGTTTTGTATTATTTGCCAGTGTTTCTTAGGCGCTTGGTAGTGAACTTTTTCGATTGGATGGGTCTGCTTTTCTTTTTCTCATTCTTTTTTTGTAGTATCAGCCTCGACTGGCATATTCATGGCATGATTACATAAATGTATTGCACAAATCGTAAACCGAGAGCCGCAAATCATGCGAGTGAAGAACTATGTTATTACTATATTACCTAAACTTTCCATACGCATCTGATATGTCCTGTGAATTTTTTAAGGTAAATTTTCAATGTTTTAATTTAAAACTCTTTGTTAATTTCAATATATTTACCTGACAAAAAATATTTATTTTTCTCTTTTTTATTTTAAATTCATGAATATTCAACAGTAAAATAAATTTAAATTATTGTCCAAAATAATCTAAAATTCGCTTTTTAATTATAAAATGACAATAAATTGTTTATGCGCCGACAATGATACTCGATGGCACTCTTTTTAGCCATTAGTCAAGTTAATCCACAATTAATTCCAGTAAATTAGTTCACAGACGACTACGATTGGATTAGAAGCAATAAGGATGGAACGATAGAAGAAATTAATGGTTTACAATTTTATTATGATTGTTTTAAAATACACATTTCTTTATTGGGTATTTCGTACTCAAGAGTCAGAAGTTTATGACTGCAGCAAAAAGGCATCTTTTAGATAATAGTACAGCACATGCTGACTTGAGTATATTGATAGAATGAAAGTTTATTTGTTTTAGATGGCTTAAGACATTCCTTTAAATCAAGAACACTTGAACATGTAAAAATAGTTGGTCGCAATTTGGGTGAGTCTCATTTAATAAAATATAATTACATAACTATAAAGCGGCTATTTAAATTAGCGTAAAGTATACAGCTTTTATATATACAATGTATTATATTATGCTTCTCTCATTTTCCCTACATTCTAGCTTAAGGGGAGAGTTTAATTGTATTTAATTTTAGTTCCAAATGAATTTAAAAAAAATAAAAGATAAAGACCTAAGATTTAATAGATATATTTAAAATAAATTAGAGTAGTTGCTGACGCCAATATAAATAATGCAATTTTCAGGATAATAAAAATAAAAGTTTAAACAGTTATACAAAAATTAAATATAATTTTTTCAATAAGTTAAACAAATACCCTATTATTAACCAAATACAATCACGTTAAAATCAATTATCCCATCAATGTAATAACGAAGAAAATAAAGAACTAAAATACAAGCCGAAATTACAAATAATATACGCGGCAAACATTTTTACCAACATTTTTGATCAGACCATCGTAGATAGGTCAAAGACCACGCGATTCCACTTGTTGAAAATAGTGAATGCATACATTGCATTCGGAATATAGTTTCGATCATTTAAGAAGACGAATAATTACACAGCCCCACAAAAAAAAAAGTGTTCAGACTTGCTGGTCGGACATATGTATTCCAATGTATTTTTCGACGCTGGATCCGATCCCGAGCTCAGAAATGGCCCTCTACGTCTGGAATTGGCCACAGGGGCCAATAATGACCTCTATATGGCCTGAAAGTGTGGGAATAGCATATACTTATTCACTAACTTATAGACTGATGTTACTTGTTTGTCGTTTAGTAAATAGGTATTGTCAAAATCTGTGAAGGTTAATAAAGATACTTATACATCGAATCGTATCATGGCACAGTCATATATTGCAAAAAGCAATGTCTAAAAAAAGAAACGGGAGATCAAGTAAATCCGGCGATGAAGAAGAACCTACAAACGCCAGAATTATCAATCTAGAAAATTTGGCTACGTCTACTCAAGAAAGCTTAAAGTCTCTGCAAGACATGATGGAAGCTCTTTTATCTAAACAAGCGGATATGCCACACAAAG